TGTTAATTCCCAATAAGGGGAAGGAAGATGGTCTGGGGTAAATTTGGAAAACAGGCTCTGCAAACTGAAAGAGATGTCGAAACCAGAGCAGGGAGAGAAACACAGCTCAAGCTATTTCCACTCTCACCAAAAAGCCCAGTTAACTAAGGTGCTTTGTGAGATTTGTTCCTAATATTTTCCTTTCCTTGACAAATGCATCTACAAAGGGAAACTGATCCCATGGGTTCATACTGTCCTTTACGGGAATCAAAGTCCCTCCAACTTACACTGAATTCCCGTCCCTTGTGCAAGACTTCTAGCTTTAAATGACACTGTTTCATTTCACCCTGTTAGCACGTGCCATCATTCCCACGGGTAGCTCTCCGAGTCAGTCATTGATAGAGAGCTTCAATCCAAGTGCAATTTGCACACACTCACTTATCTTCCAGGTCTCCATCTGAGTGCTCTACAATGATGATCCGACCAGGGTCCAATAGGTATTTACTTGTCACAAAAGGTTTCCTTCTACATTTGGCCATACCTTTTCGAATGGCTCTTCTAATCCTTGTGGAAAAACAGGAACAAAGAGGCTCTCGTTTCTCCTTTCGTGTCCCACAGATGAGCTGTGACTTTATCCAAAATACATTGAAGATTAAGGTCTTTATATGAAGGGCTTGGGAGAAGGGCCAGCCAGTAAGTAAGTGCTTGCTTTGCACAAGCATAAGGACCGAAGTCCAGATCCTTGAACACTCGTGGTAAAAAGAAAAGTCATAGCAACACTCATACAATCCCACTGGAGAGGTGGAAATAGGAGGAACTTTGGGGCTTGCCATGAAGCTAGCCTTTCTGAACTGCTAAGCTAGAAGTTCAGTGACAAACCTTGTCTCAAAAAAATATGGTGGATGGGGAGTGATAGAGGAAGGCCTCTGACCTACATGTATATACCTACAGTCTTACACCCACACCTACACACACGCACACACACTTTTATCTGCAAAAGTATCCAAATCTGTGATTTTCCTGGAAGAAAACATTGGATTTCATTACCTAATTACCAGAATCTCTCATTCCATTTATGAAAAAACAATCTGCTTATTTGTCCACTTCTTCTGAATTCACATAAAATATCTGTGCATCTCTTTTTTTTTTCTTTTTTTTTTTTCTTTTTGGTTTTTACGAGACAGGGTTTCTCTGTGTTGTTTTGGAGGCTGTCGGTCTAGCCTGGCCTCGAACTCACAGCGATCTTGCCTCTGCCTCCCGAGTGTTGAGATTAAAGGCCCACCACCAGGCATCTTTTACTTAGTTCATTAAGAACTCCATACCATGCGATGATCAAATTCACCCTGTTTTCACCAACTCCTTCCGGGTCCCACCTTTCCTACTTACCCAACTTTGTATCCTCTTATTTAAAAAAAAAAATCCATCAAATCAGTTCATGCCCCCATACACACTTGGGCAGGGAAGCAATATCACAAGGAGAAAACAGGCACCAGCCACTCAATGTAAAAAATACAGATGTAGCCTAACAGTTGACCGGGACTGACTGTGTCAGATCCACAGACAGCACAATGCTTGACTCGTCCTTTGCCTTCAGGGCTTTCACAGAAGTGGGTACTGTACACTCTGGGTTGTCTTCCAAATCTGCAACTCCTCTTCCATCCCAGCTCCCTCCTCTTGTGACATTCGATCTCGGTCACGTGTTCCTCCATTCAGCTTTCACCAACCCTTCATCTCCAGTGAGCTCATCACTATCTGCTCTTCCTAACATTGTCCTCTAACTCATCTTTTCAATTTAACGATCTGGCAGAGCCTCTCACCTTTCAATAGTTCAAAAGGTCTGCATTTATGTAAACAAATCCAGCCGTCAACTCTAGAACCCACCCCTCTCCTATAGAAGGACTTGTCTAATCTCCACAATCAGGATTTTTTTTTAATAAAAAGCTTCTCCATGTCTGCGCTTCAGTGGAATTCTGTGTGAGGGTGAGCTGATGCCGTGGATCAAGCCTAGGGCTTTAAGCATGCCAGTCACTCCATTATTGAGACAAATTCCCATCCTGAAATAGTGCAGTTAGTTCTATTGTACACTTAACACAAACCTGTCTCAATTGTATAATTATGTATATTTATTTCTATAATCTCCACTAGGTAACTAGGAAGGAAAGGAGAGCAAAGTGAAGAGAGTTAATGTTTTAAATTTTTCTTTTATTTTTCTGGTTTCATATTCTTCATCTATAAAATGGAAATAAGACACTACCTTATAAAAACATTGTAAATCCAGCATAAGACTGATGCAAAGCAGCTTGTACATATAAGGGGGTTCAAAGTATTGCCTCTGGGAGCAAAATTAATTTGTGTTCTGAATCCTCAAGAAGAATAGAAATCTCCAAGGGACTCAAGACTTTGTTACAACATCCTTTGGCATCTTGCAGTATTCTGTGATGGGTTTTAACTAATTACTTAATGTCTTAATAGCAAGTATGTCTTAAAATCCTCACAATGCTGTTTTTTTTTTTAGTTAAGATTTTATTTTACCCCTTCCTGCAATGAGAAGCACAGAGGATTTTTGCACAGATCTCTACAAATGCAAAGTCTGTGGATGCTTGTCCCTTATGCCATGGTATTTGCATACAGCCTATACATATGCTTTGTATATTTTAAATACCTCTAAATATTTCTAGCACCTAATGTAATCCCAGCACACGGTTGCTATACTGCATTGACTCGTGAACACAGACAAGGAAAGGAGTCTTGCAGGTTCAGTACATACATCATTTTCTTCCCAAATAAGTGCAATATGAAGTCGTCTCATGGCACCTGTGGATACAGACCGGCCTATCATATTCAACTGACTTTCTCTTATCCCTGTGTCAAGAAAGGAACAGGCCAGGGATTTAAGACATTCCAAGCTAGAAATGCTTTTGTTTCACCATATTCAGAATTTTTAGCATACGATCCCTCTATGCTCCTGATCTTCTCTGAGGCACTACCCTCAGAGGTGGAAGAAACCTCAGAAACAAACCTGGACCTGTCGATTTAAGAACGGATGCAGAAAGCCTGGTGTGGCGGAGCACACACCTTTGATTCCAGCACTGAGGCAGGTGTGTGAGTTCGAAGCCAGCCTGCTTTACAGAATGAGTTCCAGGACTCCCAGAGCTATATAGAGAAACCCTGTCTCAAAAAGGATAAATGCAGAGCCTTTATCAAAGACCTTAAAATGCCTGGTCACCTGGTGACTATCACCACAAATGTACTAATTCATATCACAGAACTGGGTAAGATCCTAGTAATTAAGGACTAGGGCCAACAGGACACAGATGGCCCAGATACAAATTTAATGTGGTCCTCACAGATTTCTTTTTGTTTTTCATTAAGGATACCTTCACATTAAAAACATTCCAGAGACTTCTGCTTTCCTTGAAAATCTGGCACATTATCACCACCTGGCCTTGTCCTCTTCCTAATCTTAACTGGCAGCCCCCCAAAAACATTCATGGAAAAAGCTTGGATCCAAATAAGGTTCTGATCTTCTATGAAGTTTGACTCTTGGGTCACTCACCGGTACTTTGAGAGCAATGGTTTGACTTTATAGTGACTGTGAGGATCCAGGAAGAAATGAATGGAAAGTGCCTGCTAGACTCGGTCAAGTGTTCACCATCATTATTCATTTCCTGTGCTCTGTGAGTCTCACAAACCCCTTTGCCTGTTATCCGTCATTATTTGGCTTCCTCTTCATGACGTTACTATGTCATTTGACATAGTTCATTATGTAAATTAAAGAATGCTGTGTGCTTCCCTTATCCCACTTAACCGGGGGTAGGAAAAATGGACAGATTTTTTAAAAAGCAAAGTGAATTGGTGAATGCCACTGGATCTTTACTAAGCCATTCTATTTGTGACAAAAGAATGAAATTAGTGCAAAGTGTAATTACTGCAGTGCCAATATCTTCAGGTTCACCCAGTGAACACCTGGGGAGGAAAAGGAAAAAAAAATCAACCCTAGTCAGTCCAAGTGTTAAGGGCTCCTGTGAGATCCGGTTTCTGATGTCTTTCATGGGCCTCATTTTAGGAAAGGGTTCTTCAGTACTTAAGAAAACAAAATTTTAACATGAGCTCTGAAGGCTGAGATTCTGGGACAGTATGACAGGGCAAAAAAAAAAAAAAACAACTCTATTTCCATCAAGATATAGACTGGATGTACAACTCCTAATGAATCGATTAAGTTGGAAGATGGATTTTCACAAATAGGCAGAGGAGGTGACAACAGCCCTAAAATAGAGCTGCAGTGGACACAGAAACGTCACAAAAGCGTATGTCGTGAATGCCATCCACACAGTTACCTCAGAAATTAGCAAGCGTCGCTACTGTTCTGCTCACTTTACAAGAGAAGAGCTTCCCGGTGTGGGGCCACAATAAAAATCATCTGCCTTACTGTTAATTTAATATAAGTGAGATGCAAAACAGAAGTGGAAACGAGGGAAAGGCGGGTTTTACATTGGAGTCTGCTTTCTTAAGATGGCCAAAACAGGAGTAAATTACAATAAAAGGCACAATTCGCCGAAAAACTCATCTGATGAGTCTTTTTAAAAACGCATATCGTATTGTACAATACCACTTTTTTAAGTTGAGTGAAACCATTGTCTGAATACAAATTAACTACTACCAAATTGCCACAAGGTCTTCAATGTACCCGTTATTTTTTAAAAAAAAATCAAAACAAATAGGATTTAAGAAACCGTTTTTTTTTCTAATATATGTCCCAAGGCTAATGTTTAAGCAAGTCTCCTTGGTAACCAGGAAGCATAGTGCATACTGGCTTGGGGGAGGGTGTTGCAACTCTAGGTTGATAGAATAAGTAACCCGAGTAGTAATTTCTCCCGCTAGACGACGCCAGGAGAGGCTGCACCCCCTAAAATCGCAACTCCAGGTCTCTCCGGGTCTGGCGCACCCGCAGCCTCCCACCCTCTCCCTTGGATCTGCAGACACTAATCCCGAACCCTTCACCGGGAGAGAGACTGGCTTACCCGATGCGGGAGGAGCAGTCTGCTGGGCTTGATACCCAAGGGGGCCGGCGGGCGCCTGGCTCTCTCCGAGGCACAATGGCTCTGCTTTGCCCTCGACTCTGGGCTCAGGGAAAACTGCAGCAGCTCGGTCTGCCCGGCCGGCCGGAGCTGCAGCGGTGATGATCGGGCGCTCTGGCTGGTGTGTGGATGCGAGCCTGTGTGCGCGCTAGCCGGCGCGCTCCCGAACTCCCGCGGGGAAACTGTGTCCCCAGAACGAGGAAGCCAGGCAGCCCCGCAGGTGGCGCGTGCAGCCGGACCCCGCTCTCCCCTCCCCGCCGCCGGCCGCCAGCCGCCCCTCGCAGCCGCTCCGCCCTCCTGCCGCTGCGCGCTCCCGCCCCGCCGCGGCCGCCCGCGACACGCGCGCTCCCCGGAAGTCCCCCTCTCCGCGCTCCCGCACCTGAGCCGCCCGCCACGGGTCACACGCACAACCTGCAGCCCCAGCAGGCCTCTGCCACTACACGCCCGACTGCTGGGTGACGCTGCTAGGTCGTGGTCACAGCTTCCGAGGCTGGAAGCCACTGCGCTTGCAGGTGCTACTGTCCCCACCCACCCAGCGGAGTGCCTTCCCTGTCCCCGACCTACTTGTTCAGATACCCTAGCCCTCCGAGGGCCTGCAGTGGCCTTCTGAGAATTCACGTTAACGTACCTTGGAGAACAAGTGTTCAGCAACTTTTTGAGAAACCACAGCGGGCACAGGTAGTCATGTCCTGAGCCTGAGAGAAGAAGGAGAGTATTTGATCACCACTAATTAGCACTGTAAGTATTGACACCGCTGTTGAATTAGGGCTTGGCATCCTCGCTGGTCACTGTGTCTCTCCTCTGAGTATGCTGAGAAACTAACTCCCTTTTAAGGTAAATGGTTCATTTTAATAGGCAGCACTGCACCTGTGAGTTGGAACCCTTGGTACAATGTGAAGTCAAACCGCAGGAGTGGTACACCTGACACCGGAGAGAAACACTTAGTAGATGTGAGCGATTTAAACTGCTGCAAGATTTAAAATGTACCCAGGAATTCCAAAAGGTGGTAAGGTTTATGTTCTTCCATACAATGGAGCTAGGCAGAGGCCTTGGTCAGTTTGGGGCGCTCTTAACATCCTCGTTATTCTCAAACCAATGGTACAGCGATCGTTTTCCACTTTTAGACCCACGAAATCTTTTAAGACGCATTTGGCCTCCGGAGACCAGTCTGTTTCGGTGCTCGATTTTGGTATGAGGACTTCGGACGCTGACTCAGCGCTCCTTTGACACCAGGCTAGGTGCAGAGAAAAGAATTACAGCTAACTGCAAAGAAGGGCCGTGCTACGCTCTAGAATATTTCGTAACCAACTGGCTTTTCATTTTATTCATTTTATCCTGGAAGAAGCATTCTGAACCCCCAAATATTGACAATGATGTCAGGAGATAAAGAAAGTACTCTCCTTCATTCAGCCTTCTGGAAAGGCAGACTTCCTGGTATCGTGACTCTGCCTCCAGGGCCCCTAAACTACAGATGCAGGAGGTGGGCTGTGCTTGTACCCACTGAGGCAGAAATCCCATCATCCATTGATCTCTGCATGGTGCCCCACTGTGTTTTCCGGTGGTGGACTCCAGTTGCTGTAAAGAGATTGCTTCTCTGTTGAGGGGTGATACTGACGCTTATTTGTAGGTTAGGATAAAATTTTTAATGTAGTTAAGAAATTATTCTGGCCTGGCAAAGCGGTGGCAGCAGATCATCTTCTAAGACCTATGACCTCACCAGCCCCAGGAACTTGGCTAGGTGAGTGGGTCCCTACTGGTGTCATACAGGGAAGGAGCCACACAAACGAAAAGAATGAAGTCCCAGTGCAGATTGACTTCGTCAACCTGGATCAGACTACAGAAAGTCTAATAGCAGGTGGTTTATTCTCAGTGTCTTTAAACCCAGTACAATTTGAAAAACAAGAAGAAGAGGAGGAGGAGGAGAAGGAGGAGGAGGAGGAAGAGGAAGAGGAAGAAGAACAGATTGCTGAGCTGTCAGTCATTTCCAATTCTCAACTTTCTGAATGGAAGACCACGTTTTTCATCTTTCCCATCGGAAAGACAATCCGTGTGCTTCGCATTCCTAGTTTCTTGGAGATCTGTGGGCTTGATGACTTGATGTTATGCTTCCAACAGCAATGTTTCTGCTACAGGCCTGATTTTCCTCCTGTTGAATGTACCTTAAGTCCAAGTAGACAGTTGTTGGTTACCAACAACATGTGAGTACCACTTACTGTATTGTTATGCATATCTTGCCATTGATGGTCATCGTTGAGGCTCCTAGGTATCACTGCTAGGCAGGACTAGTAATTGCTTTCCTCCCTTGGAAGCTACCATAGTGCTTTCTGATACGATCAAAGCTAGACCATGAAAAGGAGGCTTTGAGATTAGATGGAGCTCAAATCACCCTGTGCAGTGTCTTCAGCAACCTCTGAGAGGCAACCATTGGCAACGCCGACAGTGTATATTGTTCTGGGAACCACCTGGACTACCCTGACCAATCACTTGAAAGGAGGGATCCCATGCCTGCTATTGGGAGTTTCTTTTAGTGTATGGTCCTTATGCAGAGTGTGGTCAGAGAGCCCAAGAGGCAAACTCCTAGAGCCTAGAACCTAGACAAAGAATTACAGGAGGCTGAGGACTCCTGGGAAGAGAATTAAAGTCTCCCAGGGATAAGCCCCCCAATTAGTTACTAATACAAAGTGGCCATATCTGAAACCCTGTACCCACAAAAAAACAAAACCAGACTCAGCAGGTGGCATTTATGCATTTGTGCATATATATTTGATGTGTAATGATAATAAACAAAGAAAAAGATGGTGTCAATGTGCGAGTAGTGACATAGGATGGGTTGGAGGGAGGAAAAGGAAAGGGGTAAGTGATATAATTATATCTTAATTTAAAATCTGTTAAACAGGGATACACAGAGAAAGCCCATCTTGAAAAACAAAACATAAATAAAATGTATTAAAATAATAATAAATTTAAAGACAATGTACACACAAGTGCTAAGCATTTCAATAAGCATTTGTATGCTGTGCTTTTTAAGATTTTTTTGTAATTAAAACATCCCCTTAAAAGTCCTCAAGTATTCCTCACTACAAGGAACTACACTGACCACTTTAAATCAGCTGGAGTGACTAGACTATTTGTTTAGAATAAATAAAAAGTATCATTAAATATAATTAAATAGTAGAAGCAAGGGCAGAGTACACACACACAAGAAAAGAATCTATATGTCACCAGCTCCGCTCACTGCTTGTATGAATATGGAAGCAGTCCTTACATCCTCACTGGGTAACTATTGCCTCCAGCTCATCACTGTCTCTCTTATACTAGTATAACGTGTCACATGAAGAGGCTTGATAAGTGTTGTTTACCGTCACATATATGTTGAAGGTTAAATAAGAAAGTGTATGTAAATGCTTAATAAAATGAATGGCTCAGAAGACAATTTTCCCTAGTGACTCTTTGTGTGTTTACTTAATAGTATTTTTTTCTTTTTGGCTTTTTGAGACAGGGTTTCTCTGTGTAGCTTTAGAGCCTGTCCTGGAACTCGATCTGTAGACCAGGTTGACCTCAAACTCCCAGAGATCCACCTGTTTCTGTCTCCCTAGTGCTAGGATTAAAGGCATGTGCCACCACTGCTGGGCATTATTTAATAGTATTTTTTAAACTTTTTATTTTTATAGGACAATCAATGCATGTTGCATAGCTACCAAAACTCAATACAAGCATATTTTTCAGTTTACTTAGTTTAAAGAGATTCTAGATATCATTTCCCCCCAAAACCATTAAATACCATCTTCATTCTTGTTAAGAAAATAGCTAAAAGCCAGGCCGGGTGGCTCATGCCTTTAATCCCAGCCCCTAGGAGGCATAGGCAGGTGGATCTCTGGGAGTTCAAGGCCAGCCTGGTCTACAAAATGAGTTTTAGGACCGCCAAAACTACACATAGAAACCCTGTCTTCAAAAACAAAAACAAACAAACAAACAAAAAAAGAAAATAGCTAAAGCCAGGCATAGTGACACACCCATAATGTCAGTACTTGCAAAGTTGAAGCAAGAGAACCAGAGGTTTGAGGTCATCTTGGGCTAGTGAAACCATCTGAAAAAGAAGGAGGGGGAGGAGAAGACAGGAAGGAGGAGAAAGAAGAGAAGAGGGGAGGGGAAGAAGAAGAGGGGGAGAAGAAGGGAGAAGAGAGGAGAGGAGAGATGCTAAAAGAACGCTTTCTAAGAGATGCTCTTTGGAATGCTAGTCATTTGTCCCACAAGCAGACTTGCTTTTCTTTCATTCCTTTAGAATTAGAATGTATTGGCATTGCACTCAAGGTAAAGGTAGACTGCTTCTGTTGCAATTTAGCGATGCTATGAAAGGTGAACTGAAGGAGAAATATGAAGCCTAAGTCCTTCAGCAGCAAGCAAAGGAAATTACTTCCCTAAAGTTGAGCAAAGGGAATTTCAGGAAAGGTTATGAAGAGCTTGAAAACTGGTGGCAGGCATCCCTAGGTCACAAGTGTGGGAAGTCAGCAAGATTTGGATATGCCCAAAAAGGACAGAAAAGTGACAGCAGAATAATCAGAAGGGCAGCACCATTGCTGAAGTGGGTGGACACCATCTATATGCTCTCCATACTCCACATTCGGATTCTTGCGTCCACTCGTCCTCACTTAGAACCTTAGCCTGGCCCTCCAGCAGCTAGGGTGGAAGCTCTGATCATAGCTCCAAGAGTTAAGAAAGAAAAGTAGAGACTCGGGTGTCGAGAAAATAAAACAGGAGAACAAGTAGTGGATTAGAGGGGCCGGAAGCCCAGAGAGCTGGACCCCTGTCCCTGTGGCATATTAAGGACTGGGGTTTTGAGGAACGTTATTTCACACTAAGGAATGCTAAAAAACCGTATTTCACTCTCCCTGGTGTCCTAGCATTTTGTTGAGTTTGAACCACAAATTTTTCCACTTTATTCTTATACTCCATACATTTTTATGGATGGCATTTTATATTTCCATTTATGTATCGTCCACTTGCCAGAGAACAAGATACAGCATACCATAATACGTTATCATAAACTTTCTTGCAATCTGTGTTTTAACAGCTGTGTGAGAATCAGAAAGTCAGAATTATCTGTGGACAGATCAAATTTCACTTCAAAGCTATGTCATAGTGGAGAACTGTGTCAAAGTTCTGTATTCAACCACAGAGTGACTGCCTCTTGGAACCACTTTTCTCACAGCAATAGAGGAGGTGTCTTTCTTAGAACCAGACTTCTGTCATGAGG